CAAAAAAAAAAAAAAAAAAAAAAAAAATGATCGCCCAAAAGGCCTCCGAGGTTATTTTCGGGCGTCTAGAACACAAAAATTATCTCGATCGCCCCCCCCCCCCGCCACACTTTCGGCCTCCCTTTTGGACATCTCTGGATCCGCCCCTGATACTTTTCTCTCGCATATTATCTGTCCTAATTACATTTTAAATATGTAAATTTTAATGTACTGGACATTACTAATTCTGAAACCCCCCATGTGGACTGTGTGATGAATATAATATACGCCCTCAAGCATATTGGTGATATACCTCATACCTGTATTGAATGTAAGGATGTGGTCGGTTCTATCCTGCTCCTTATCTATCTTAAACCATGAGATGCTTGCTGTTTTCGCATTCTTCGGTTCGTACCGTAACACCATATCTGCTGATTCGCCTTCGCTGCAGCGAAACTCCTCTTCAATATATAGTTCAAATGGCACTTTTTTTTTTTTAAGCAAAACATCTGTAAAATGAAAAACAGTGTTGAGTAATCATTTTACATTCCTCGGTTATATCAAACACATTTTTAAATTTTGCGAATTTCACTCCTATAAGAATGCTTTACAGACCAGGGAGTTCAAAGTTCTTTTCCTATAAAATGAAACTCAGGTACAAATCCTGAGCCATCGGAAGCATTTTGAAATTGGACTAGCCATTATAATAACAGCCAGGAAGTGGGGTGTTAACACATTGGACTCTTATACTGCAAACCCGCTTCCCTAGTAGGTAGGACGAATTTAAGTTAGTTGGGTCTGAGTGCATAATGCATATCAACCCCAGCCCACTACGGTTGTTGAACAACTTTTTTCTGGATGCCCGAAAATAACTACCACTAGAGTCTACCCAACTAAGCCCCACCATGGTTGGGGCTGATGTGATTAAAAAAAAAAAAATATGAGACCTCTGGATAGTCGGAAATAGTAGCTGACAAACCTGTAGGACCTCTACTCCTCCCCATCCTGTCGACTGGCAGACACAAGATTTAAAATTAATGGAGACTAAAGTTCATACCCACCTCAGCCCCACTATGGTTAGGGCTGAGGTGAGCAAATCTTAAAAATATGGCAGCGGTAGTTGCCCGAAAATAGCATTTTGCAGGGGCAGACACGACATTTAAAGTTAGTTGGGATATTGAAATCATATCTAACTCAGCCCGATCATGATGGGCCTGATGTTAAACTGTTCTGAAAACATGACATCTCTATGCCAAGAGATGGCAGCTGGCAACATGCAAAAACTATTCCAACCATAACGCAGGGGCAGATACATGATTTAAAGTTAGTGGAAGTGGACTAGGTACCATACACACCGCCGCTCCACTATGGTTGAAAAAATGGTCCTCTGCTGGGACATTGTACATGTATAGAAATGTCACTTTAGGGGTTTGAATTTTGATTGCAATTACCTTTGTGTAGTGATATGAGAGTTTGTTACTTTTATATTTATACCTTTAAACATTTTTAAAGTCAATCTTAATTACTAAAATTAAGGAGTCAACAAAAAATTTGAAATGTAAATAGGCATTACAAAAACAAGCGCAAAGTAGATTTTTGTTTAAATATAAAGTGACAATGTGATGCGATTAATAATAAATTCATATAATTTTATCAGTATATTTACGTATCAGTATATATTTATTTTTTTCAAAGTAATAGAGAAAAAAATGTCCGGTTAAAGCCTGTTCGGCCGATGCGGTTCCGACGGCATTGAAACCTATGAAGTAACAGTTCGCCTGTAAATAATTTTTTTTCTTTATTCACTTCATTACATAAAATCATTTACTACAGATCAAATACACAAAAGCAAAAAGACGAGAAGTCCAAACAAAGGCAAAACACCCATAAATCAAATAAATATATAATTTTATACAAAAACAGACATAAATATAATTGTGGTATTGTAAAAAAGCAAAATATAGTTAGATAACTGGTATAAAATATTGTCTATTACAAAAATAAACAAAAAAAGCTAAACAAATTACTGTAAAAGATTATAAAATTAAATAAACAAATAAATAAATAGATAAATAAATAAATAAATAATATTCAAAAAACAGGACAGGACCGCGATTGATATACGATACCGAACGAAAATGCACAATTTGATATGAACAAGTCTGATAACAAGTGATAATTTGTGTCTAATCAGTAGGTCTTTCCTGAGTGTCAATCAAAACTAACAACTGACCAATCATCACTGATCATAAGCACACATGTTGTCCCACAAACGCATGTGTGTTTGCGTATGTTTTTACACTGTTGTTTTGTGGGACCTTAGCAACAATATCCAATGGGTGGGGCTAAGCGGAAAGGTCAATTATACTTACATTTTCTGTCCAAATAAAACACAAGGAAACTGATGACACACACAGAAATCACCACCACAGACATAGTCACGAAAATTCCCAAAGGAAAAGCTTTTTTAGGAGGAACATCTGGTTCTAAATGAAAAAAAAATGATGTCATATACTCCAATGTAAGGTAATGTAATATAATATATAAAATATAATAAGATATAATATAACAATATAGATTAATACAATATAATAATAGACCTAATGTAAATAATAAATAATAACAAAGGCCTAATGTATACTATATTATAATAAATGTTTATGTGTGTATGCACCACCTGTTTATTGCTATAGCTTGAGTACTTTTAGGCCCACGGTATATGAACCAGGTGCTGAGAATTACTCACCCATGATTGTTAGTTCTGCAGGCTCCTTGCTCACCTCACTCATTAAACCTCTAGTTGTATGAACAGTGATACTGCAAGTGTAATTCCCAACATCTTTTTCAGATACGCTAAGAATTTCAAGCGTTGTTGTTCTGGAATTTTCTTTTAAAATATTATATTTTGTTGATGTAGTATTGATTTTCCAGCCGTCAAGTAACCAACCTACATCGGGATTTTCCTTAGGATGAATTATAGTCCAAGTGCAGAAGAAAACATTGTGCTTTTCTCTAGTCTTTAGGATGATACTAGGAGGATTCATATCTTCAATGGAAAACATTACATAAAAAAAAAATTAAATGATGTTAATTTTTAAAAGAAAGTAAGTATATTGGTAAAAAATAATCGTAACATGTTAGTATGCCAGAAAATATATAATGTCTCTAGAAAATTGTTGATAAAATAAAGGGAAGGAGGGAGAGGGAGCGGAAAGAGAGTGTTTATCCAGTCCCTCGACTGAGTTACATTTTCTCGCAATTCATATTGGCGGATCTGGGTGGG